ATTTATGATAGTACCTCAAAAATGACCCAGCTGCCTTTCTGGGCACAGAACTAAGAGGCTTCTGGAAGCAGGGCAACCACACATTGCGTAGTGATTGGCAACAAGTTGCCAATGAAGGTGACATATATATAGTTGATCAAAATTGCTTCCCACTGGAATAAACTTAATTCGAAAAAAAGTTTGAAAGTGTCCCAGAACTTTTGGGACAACCCTAATATTTTAGCTTATTATTGTCACTATCATTACTGTAGTAAATGGGAAAAATTCACGGAATATGCTTCTGATTTTTTTCCAAGTTTTTTCAAACGTTGTCATTATTAAAATTGTTGAGAAATCACCTACTTTCATACGTTTGTATTGATTCCGCCATCGACAGACTACGTGTTACTTATTATATCGCGGACGGAAATGCAAGTTCAGAGTAGGCTGGTTGTTCAGAGGGGTTCGCGCAAAGGCGATTTCCTTGTTGACCAACGCATTGAATTTGACCGTTGCGCTCACAAAAGACTGCGCAGCGTTAGGACAACGACGGTTCTACTGAATTGAGTTCTGCTTTCTTTACAGGAAGCCATGATGTTGTCGAGGGCAACACCTAAACTCATACTTGGCCTGATATGGTGTCTGATTCAACGATATCAAATAGCATCACATAGCAAAATTCCACCAAAAAAGCTCATGATGGCATGGATCCAGGTGTGTCTTTACTACTTCTTGACAGTTCCGTTCTGTACTGAAAACGGCTGGAATCAGACTGGGAACATTCGTGATTAAAACTTACGGCGCTATATCAAGGAAGCGTTGCTGAAATTCAATGTTCATTATATCTGAGATCCTCGATCAATAATTATCAAAAGCAAAAAAAAGAGTAAGAAATAAAATGAGTCATGGAAATTGATAAAAGAGGGTAAGTAGTTCGTCTCGCCTCTACTCAGACGAAATGAGTAGAGGCGAAACGGTCCCAAACCACTTTATTCGATCGTTCCCAAAAGCCACGATTCTGCGCAGTTTAGGAGCGGGTGGTAGACCAGGGCCGTGATTTGCAACATTCCTAGTTTCATTCCCTTTTCGAGTTTTTCTTTGGTACCATTATTTTTATGTGAATTTGGTTAAAGTGAAAGCTGTCAAGTGGAACGTCAATTTACTGGTTTTCTTTCGCGCGACAACTTTTGAGCAATGACTAAATAGTGCATGACACGCTGTGATTGTTTGGTCTCCCATGGGTTATGGGTTACATAATAGTGAAAGGGTTCACGGGAAATCCTCAGATTTCATCTACAAAACAGATTTTCTCACAATGTGCACAGAAACGTACCCTTCTCATACTCAACGCCTACACTCTCGATCGCTGTGGGGTATAGACATGGGGGAGGGGGGTTACGGGGCTCGTCTCAATAGGACACGCTCTCGCTGTCAAGCTCAGAGGTATTTTTTCAGAAGGGAGAAGGTAAAGGAGGAGGGATCAGAGAAGGAAGGAAGGAAAAAAAGGAAGGAGGAAGAAAAAAGGAAAGAGAAGAGAGGCTTCCCGGTTGACAAGTGCCCTGAGACTGTCGGGAGGGGGCGTACTTGGCGCCAGACCGTTTTCTATCGATTGTTGTCTCTTACTCTCTCCAACGATAGGTGAAAAGTAGCTTGACGCTGCGCCAAACCCAGTATTGGTAAGGGAAGTTAGTCATCCTGAACCACTAGGCAGTTAAGCAGGTGATGGTGATCTCATGGTATTGTTCTAGTCAGCTCTACCGGAAATGAAGCTCACAAACTTCCGGACGAACTGGAACGATGGTCGAGCATTAAGTGCGTTGTTGGAATATTGCCAGTCAGGTTTGTGTCCTGAGTGGAGGGGACTGGATCCAGAGAAAGGGTAAGTGACTTACTTCGACTTTCTTTGAAAAGCTGTATTCCCTCATGAAGTTACTTTCAGACTGGCAAACTGTGAAAGGGCTCTTAAACTTGCCAATGAATATCTGAACATACCACCAATCATATCAGCAGCTCACTTGAATAGCCCACATTTGGACGAGTTATCATGTATTACTTACTTATCATATTTTATAATGAGAGGAGCTTGTGGCTATCAAGCTACATTGCGACGAGTTCAAACGGTAAGTGCTACTCGCAAATAATTGTTAGTCAGTTGTTCGAAGTTTCTTAATAAATCTGACAAAGCCTACTTGGCAAGTGGAATCCCTTTTCGAGTTATCGGTAGACAAGTCCGCTGTCACACAGAGGGCCACTTTTGCGTTGAAAGTGCGAGATATGGGGCTGGGTGCGTGATTGGCACGAAGCCACCGAGTCAGGAAAACTCGTAGAACGTTGAAATTGAAGGGGCCTCATTCGGTTGTTTTTTTTGACCGTTTCTTTTGTTTGTTCGCCACTATTAACACGTTGACGACGAGCCGTTTTTTTCATGAATTGCCCGTGGGACGGCACATTTTTCTTCGTAGAAACTTAGTAATTTTTGGATAAATGAATGGCTACGGTCAAAGTATTTCAAGAAATGCAAGAAGGTGAGAATACGAATCTCGATCTTCGACACAATTTAGCTTTTATTGCTCCAGTCTTCAGAAATTTTTACCAAGTTTTTCTCTGGGAGCAAATTTGGCTGAAAATTTGTCTCCTGGGGTAGTTTGACCTCCTGAAGACGAATATTACATCCTCTTGGCCCAAAACTGCTTGGCGCGCGCAATAGGCGCTACGTTGACGAAAGTTTTTCGCCATTTCTTTCATGACTTGTGCCCTAACTGTCTGGCGCCGGCGCCTGTGGCGCGGGCGCCAGGCGATTTTGTGGCAAGTGGTTGTGAAATTCGTGTTCACGGCATCAAACTACCCAGGAGACAAGTTTTCAGCTAATTTGGTGATTTACGGTATTTTGGCGCCGGCGCCTGTGGCGCGGGCAGGTAGTCCGCGCCAAGCAGCTGTGGTATTCATTTCAGAGGTACAAGCTACCCCCCAGGGACACGTTTACGACGAACTTGGCTGTTCGTTCATCTTTATTCTTAGAAAATATACTGGCAGACACCATTGTCTGCCATCGTCGTCAACGTGTTAAAGGCTATTCCCGCGACCAAGTGTTACGAGTATTAGGTGCTCAATCATGAACCAGTAGCGCATGAGTAACTCCCCAGTAGAGAAAGAAGCGAAAAAAAACTTTGGAGCATTCTGAATATAGACCCCTTGGCGGTGCGGCCGGCGCCTTGAACGAGTTGTTGAACGTCGGCCCAGTCAGCAGGATTCAACGTGCAAGCGATCCCCGGCAGAGCACAGGAACTCACCTTACGACGCTCCAGGCAACGCTACACACGCAATTCTGCTTGGGTTTGGCAGAGTGAAAGTAATCGTGGTTGCAATGGTTGCAATAATCACGCGTCTCTAGCTTCTTTATCTCGCCGTTTTGAGTGACGAAAGTGGTATATTCTCTGCGAATGCGGACAACGATGCCAAATGCACGGAGGCATTTCGCGGACCACTTGATCGCGGGAATGTCTTTAGATCTACTGGCAGCCACACTTCTGCTCTGTGACTGCACAATCAACGATTTGCAGTCACATATCTTGTCATGTATAGGTACGAGTAATAGTAGGTTACGCTCGACATGTAGGAGGGGCTGCATAGCCCCCATTAGCACCCATTGGTGCGTCTGCTTGGCTAATGCAGATTGTCCGCCGCCCTTAGGTTGCGTTCATACTTCAAGCCAGCGTTTTGGAAATCCCTGCGCACTTCAGCTAAACGTGGCGGTGGTTGGGAAGATACTTTTGACATA